GGACGAATGCCCTCTTTTTATAAAACTGCCCAGCAGCCTTCGGAACTGGTCCTCGAACTGGGCCTCGATCGCGGCTTCGATCACAGGCTCGAGCCTGGACCTCGGTCATGGCCTCGATCAGGACATCGAGGTTGGGCCTTCAATTGTGACCCTCGATCTTGGTTCTCGATCCTGGCCCTCGAGCCTTGCCTTCGATCATGACCCTCGAGCTGGACCTTCGATCATGGCCCTCGAGATGGACCTTCGATCATGGCTTCGATACACTAGCTCGAGCTAGTACCTCATCAACCCTGGGCTCGATACCTGGGCTCGATATCTGGCTCGATATCTGGGCTCGATCACAGCCCAGAATGTCCAACAGAAGANCAATTTAATCCACTATAAGGCCTTTTCCACGATTATCCAACTCCGTCTCGCTCGAATCTAGCCAAAATAATTTGATAAAATCACTAAATATTGTAGAAATCAATTCTATACAAAAATACTACATTTTAAAGAAAAGATCCCGAAATTAATTAAAAATTCGCCCGTGGGGCCCATATCTCGGAATGCGGCGAAAGTTATGAAATCCGACAACCCATTCAATTACGAGTCCAACCATACCAGTTTCACTCAAATCCGACTCCGAATCGATACCGAAATCTCAAAATTTTGTTTCTATGAGATTTCTAAACTTTTCCAAATTTCAATCTCAAAACACTAATTAAATTGTGAAAATAATGATATATTTGTATATGTAGACCAAATCCGAGTTAGAATCACTTATNAAAATGTTGACCGAAGTCAAACTTAGCACTTTAAGGCCAACTTAAGGAACCAAGTGTTCTGATTTCACCCTAAACACTTTCAAATCTCGAACCAACCATCCCCGCAAGTCATAAATCATTACAAGAACCTACAGGAAGTTTTATTTTAGGGAACGGGATTCTAAAAGTTAAAATGACTGATTGGGTCATTACAGATCTGATATGTCATTTTGAGTATTAACTCTCATATTTGTGTTTCATGATTTTCATAGCTTAATTTGATGATTTATCACTTGCGTGTGTGATCCGTATCGATTTTCAAATAGTTTATATGTAAAATTTTAAAGAAATATGATTTTTGACTTTAAAAATGACGAGAGTTGACCATGCTCAACGTTTTGATAAACAACCTCGGATCAATATCTTCATAATTTCAGTAGTTTGTATGATAATTTTGGACTTATACGCATGTTTGGTTGGGGTTCCGGGTGACCCAAGGCCATTTCGGCTCGTTATGTAAAAAGTTGGAAAAAATGAGTTTGAACTTGAAAATCTTGAGTTTTAATGGTCGATTCTTGATTTTGATGTTATTTTGATGATTTGAGTTCGCGAGCGAGTTTGTATAATGTTATTACACTTGTGCGCATGTTCGGATTGGAGCCTGAGGGGTTCGAGTGAGTTTCAGATGGTTTTGGCAGCTGAAGGCAACTGCTGGTGTGCATGGCCTACAAGTCTCGCATTTACGATGACATGTTCGCTAACGTGAGCTTCGCTTTTGCCAAGTTAGGCTCGCATTTGCAATGACTGGGAAGGGGGTTGGGACCTTTGCATTTGAAAAGTATCAATCGCATTTGTGAACTGAGGTATCGCATTTGCGACGTGTGTGTGTTGCATTTGCGACACTGGGTAATTTAGGACAGCTTCGCAATTGCGAAGCTAGGATTGCTTTTGCGGAAAGGGGGCCTTCGCATTTGCGATGGCTTCCTCGCATTTGCGACATCTGTGGCTTAGGGTCTGGATCGAATTATGACCAGTTGTTCGCATTTGCGGACATCACAATTGCGAACAAGGCTTTGCAATTTGCGATACTTGCAGCTGGATAAAATGTGGGGATTTCGGAATTTAGCTCATTTTTCATTATTTTTTAAATTTAAACTCCATAGAGGCGATTTTTGGAGAGAAATTTCTTCCCAACTTCATAGGTTAGTAATCTTAACTTGTTTTCATTCAATTTTGATTACTTTTTCATGAATTTCATCATCAAATCTAGGATTTCATAGACTAGAAATTGAAGTTTTTGATAGAATTTAGGGATGTTGTAAAAATGAGATTTAGACATCAAATTGAGGTTGGATTTCGAAATAAATCACATATCCGGACTCGGGGATGAATCGATAATTATGATTTGCTCTTAATTTCGGATAACCACTTGGGTACGGGTTGACTTTTTGTTGACCTTTTCAATTATGTTAAAAACTGAACCCTTATCATAACATGATAGTTTCTAAAGCTTGTTTTGACTTGTTTGAACAATAATTGACTAGATTCAGGTAGTCACAAACAACTTAATATAATCAAATAATACCATATGAAATAACCCCAAATAATAAAGCTTCGATAATTATCAAAATCAAAAAGTCAACCCAAGCCCGCACCTTTGAACCTGACAAAACTCACAAAAATATAATACAAACCTACTCGAAGTCTCAAATCATACCCTAGGCCCCCGGAACCCCGTTCAATCACACCAACCAATCCTAAAATATAATACGGACCTACTCGAGGACTCAAATCACATAAAACAACATCATAATCATGAATCACACTTCAATTCAAGCCCAAGGAACTAATCCAACTTTCCAAATTCAAAACTTATGTCGATCAAGCCTAAATAATTCAGAACGACCTCAAATTTTGTATGCAAGTCCCAAATAAAAAAATGGACCTATTCCAACTCCTAAAACAAAAATTTGAACCTGATACCATCAAAGTCAACTCTCAGTCAAACCTATCAACCTTCCAAACCTTCAACTTTCTAACTTTCACCAAAAAGCACCAAATCCACCTACAGACCTCCATATTAGGGCTGCTTATCGGGCGTATTGGGCGGTTAATTACTCTTAACGGTTATCGGCTTTTAAATGTATTAATCTGCTAGCTACCCGATAAGATATCGGGCGGATTGGTATTGGTTTAGCTCTTATCGGGTGATTTATCGGCCTAATTCAATCTATATTGCGTGCATTAATTGTTTGCTGACCGCCTAGCATACAAATTCAGAATAGGAAATTACACATTGAGTCCAGACATACATGTATGTTAACGCCTACATAAGAATGATGTAGTGTGTCATGTGTTGTAGAGTGAAAAAATCAGAACACATTATAGGCTACATTACATCCCAAAGCAGACTACATATGAGTCCAGACATGCATGTCTGTTAATGCCTACCATTAAATCCCAAAGAAGACTACATTACATGAGTCCAGACATACATATGTTTGTTAACGCCTAACATACAAATTCAGAATAGGAAATTCCAGTCTATATTCAAAGTGAGTCCAGAATACATATTTCAAAATGATTAATCCATAAGTGAGCAGACTACATAGAAATATTTGGCCTGTAGCTAACACCTAACAGTGCTTGAATTTCTGCAGCTTCAAAGTTCAAACAACAGCTTAATCCATAAGTGAGCAGATCCCTATAAAAAATATGCATACACCAAATTTCAGCATTAGGCAACGAAGTAGAGACTGATAAATACTACGGTCTTGAGGCAATAAGAAGAGTTAAAGACCACACAAACCATTTCAGAATAGAGCAAGGTGAACGTAAAAGTACCCTTTTTTCACAGTATCATCAGCATACGTTAGCATCTGAACAGAAGTCGAAGCATAAGCCACGAACCAAAACCAAACGAAAGAAGGTTCCAGTTTGCACCAACTCCAGTTATGCCCACAATTTCTAACTTAAACTCTCAACCAGGCATTTCACGCTATATCATTAACCATACAAACAGCACCGAGCAAAAGGCAGTTATGTATAGAAATAGGGATGGATTATAAGTAGTAAATAATTTACAGAAAATGCAGATGCGCTCTTTCCCAAGAATATAATTCAAGATAGTACTATCGTCAATATTGTGGAATAAAAATTGTGGCACAACACTCATGTTCTTATATTAAACATAGACAGCATACATTAGTTTAAAAAAATAAAAGCATAGATGAACCATAGACAACGGCTTAAACAATCTTGTTGTAGGGTGGGAGAATAAGCTAAGCTAAGCCAAGTCTAGGATCTTCTGATGCATAGTACGTAAGAGAGTAAATACACACTTATATACAACAAATACTTGAAGCCTTGATGAGTTAAATTCGAATTCTTACCAGATATATTAATACTACACGTCAATTATGGAAAGGTCTTTTCCATTGCTGGATAAATCTGAAGAAAAAAATTAAAATAATGAGTCATGCGATAAATATAAGCATATCAACAACACTTATATACAACAAATATAGTAACAATATTATTACCTTGTTCAAGCTGCTCGATTTTATCAAGATCTTCCTCAACACTAACAGGTTGTTTTAATTTTTTATTTCGAAGCCAATCTAAAAGACACACTAGAGCTTGCACCAATTTAGGAGTTAATGAACTCCTAAATGAATCAAGAAGACGTCATCCTGTACTAAACGCACATTCAGATGCCAGACTTGAAATCGGAACAGCTAATACATCATGAGCCATCTCCTCAAGAATAGGAAATCTAGCTGAGTTCAATTTCCACCAAAGAAGAACATCAAATTCTTTAGTGTCATCCTCAGTTTCTTCACCTACATATTTATCTAACTCTGTTCTAGTATCAACACCTCCACTCCCACTTTTATATTTTTTATATCTTGTATGAGTGATTCTAAAAGTCCTATATTTTGGGTGCTTGCTTGACTGCCAAAAAGCCCGGAAGTCAAAGATTCCAATGAAGAAAAATCTGAAGATGAAGCAAGCACGACACCTTTTGAGCTGGACTTTACATACTCACTAAATAATGAAGTCATGTACTTCGTCACTTCTGCTTGTATAGTTGCCCCCAGATCTACACCAAACATCTTTACAAGTGCATAGCTAACTGATTCGAGCTTGTAACATGGATCCAAACTACATGAGATAAAAATTATCTTATTCATTTTTCCTCGATCACCCCAATACTTATCAAACTTTTCTTTCATATTCTTTGTCATTTCACTTAAAATTGTATCTTCATTTGCTATCAATTGCTTCAAATAAACAACAACTGTGCAAGTTTCAAGAAAATGAATATTCGATGTAACATAACGTGATCCAGATATCTTCAAAGTAAGAAGATAGACGATTTCAAGAAACTTTGTAATTCTTTTTACATTCTCCCAATCACTACTCAAAAGTTCACCTGTAGGAATTCCAACATCAATATAAGAATGCTCAAGATAATGTCTCAAACCAATTTCACTAGAAGCATAATGTGAAAATGCACTTTCAAATTCAACAGCCCTGCACAACATCAAGTAGGTGGAATTCCACCTAGTTGGAACATCTAAGCATAAAGTTTTTTTTACAATTGAGTTGTTCATCATCAAAACATTCTTGAAACCTCTTCAACCTCGCAGGAGACTGCCTAACATATCTCACTGCATGTCTAACATGTTCAATAGACACTGAAGATTCTTTTAAACCATCCTGGACCACAAGATTCATGATGTGAGCCATAAATCTCACGTGAAGGTGAGTACCATTCATCAAATTAGTTCCCATTTTTGTTAATTGCTTAGACAATTCTTTTATTGTCACATCATTTGAGCTTACATTATCAACTGTGACGGTGAAGATCTTATTTATCCCCCACTCATGTAAGCACCTACCAATACCATTTGCCATATCTTCGCCTTTATGACTAACAATAGGACAAAAATTAATTATTCTCTTATGTATATTCCATTCACTATCAATCCAATGGGCAGTGATACACATGTAATTGATTCTTTGTATAGAAGTCCAGTTATTAGTGGTAATACATACTCTTTGTTTTTATTTCTATAAAAGACCTTTTCAACTTTTACTTTTCTTTATTAAAAAGATCAAAACAATCCCTAGTTACAGTACTACGGGAAGGGATCCGAAAATAAGGTTGCGCCACTTTCATAAAGTCTCTAAAACCTTCTTTGTCAACAAAGCTAAAAGGAAGCTCATCAACTATTACCATACGACATAACGCCTTCCTACATTCTTCTTGATCAAATTTTCAAGTAACAACAGCTACGTCACCCTGACTACCCCCCGGAACAGATTGAAAGCCTAAATTTAATTGTTTTTTATCAACAATAGCAGGGCGTTTAGGACACTTATTCATATGAGTAAGAAGTGTCGACGTACCGTCTTTGGTCTTAAAACAATACTCAATAAAGCAATAGTCATATTTTGCTTTTGTACTCCCTTCAGAAGTAATAATTTCTGTAAAATGATCCCACACAACAGACCTTTTTTTTTCCTTTTTTTGGTTATATTTGACTTCGTTGTTTGAGCTTGACTTATTGCATTTGAATTAGAAGCCCCACTTTCACCCATCATCACCTTATCACTTTGTATATTTTTAGCCATGTATGAGTCACTGCAACAAGAAAAGAAAAGGAATGAGAATAACAAGTTGCTTAACAAATATTTATACAAGCCATGTATGAGTTGTTTAACAGCTTAGTCATCTGCAACTATAATATGATGTAATTAAGGAAAAAGTAGTTCTAATGGATATGCTACTGTAACTCTTGCTAGCTATAACATGG